AATTCCTTCATTTCCTTGATTTATTATAATTATCGTTTTATTTAAAAAAAAAAAAAAAAAAAAAAATTGCGGTTTTTCTTATTGGTTATCATAAAGGAATATAAAATAAAGAAGGATAAAACGATAATTTTTGTCAAGGTCACGACGCTCATTTTTTTTCTGTTTTCCTTTGTTTTTGTTTTTTTTTATCTTTTATTTAAGTTTTTTTTTTTTATATATTAAAACATTATTAGTAATCCGTGAAAATAGAGGAAAAAGGAAAATCTATTCGATTTGTATTTGTTCCCGTAAAGTATTCAATTATAATAATAATAATAATTAAATATTTAACTTATTAACAAGGACATATTTTCTAGTTTTTCTCGTATACACGTGTGTGTGTGTGTGTGAGAGAGAGAGTGTGCGTGCGTGCGTGCGCGTGAAAACATTAACATTAAATGTCCGCTTTTATTTATTTTATTATTATTATTAATTTATATATAAGTGAAAATTTAACTGTATCGAACTCGGTAAATATTTTCAATTGTAACAATTATTATTATTATTATTATTTGTGTAAAGTGTCAACATCTCTCTCTCTCTCTCTCTCTCTCGTACGAAGACCCCGAAAATTCTAAACAAATATTTTTTTGAGTAATTATTATCTCGAACAATTCGTTGTTTACTTAAGTTGAATGTTTTTTTTTTGTCTCTCTCTCTCTCTCTCTCTCTCTCTCTCTCACACAATCTCTTTCTATCTCTTTCTATCTTTGTTTCCTACCCGGTAAGAATGAGGAAGTTTTTTTGTGTTCTTGTTGGTAATTAGGTTTTAAATACCTTATGAAATATAAAGAGAGAGAAAAAATTATTATTATTATTATCATCATGGCGTAGATACGAACGTGTAAATCAACCGATATTTTACAATTCTTTGAAAATCATTTTTATTATTATTATTATTATTTTATTTTTATTTTTTTATCTTTATCAGAGAACTTTGAATGTTTTTTTGTTTTATTAGGTTTTAGTTTATTATATGTTTGATTTGGGTTTTTATCTGGGAAAATTTTAAAAGATAAACAAATAAAAAAAAAAAAAGTAGAATTTTTTTGTTAAATTGGTTTTTCTTTTGTTTTCGTGTATTTATTATTATTATTATTATTATTATTATTATTATTATTATTATTATTATTATTATTATTATTATTATTATTATTATTATTATTATTATTATTATTATTATTATTATTATTATTATTATTATTATTATTATTATTATTATTATTATTATTATTATTATTATTATTATTATTATTATTATTTAAAAAAAAAAAGAAAACACCGCTTTTATTTATTTTATTTTATTTTTTATCAGGTAAAAGCTCATACATCAGTTTAGTGGATAGTAAAGCCTGGATCGGTGGTAGCACGACAATAACAACAAATCAAACCTCATCATCAACATCATCATCATCATCATCATCAATGAACCGGCCGACTGTTGTTAGTTCGGCAGCGACAATGCCATTGACTCAACCTCCTCCTGTTGCTCAACCTACCACGAGAAGAAATTTAGGTGGACGAAGACCTACTAAAAATAGCGGAGTGAGTATTTTGGCAAAAGTACATTTTACACTTTTTTTTTTTATTTGAATCCATATTAAAAAATTAATAAATTTTTTTTTAGATTTCTCCAGAAGAGGAAGAAAGAAGAAGAATAAGAAGAGAAAGAAATAAATTAGCGGCGGCTCGTTGCCGAAAAAGACGATTGGATCACACGAATGAACTTCAAAAGGTAAGAAACAAAAATTTTTTTCTTTTTTTTTTTTTTCAAATGTTGGATTTCCGATAAAAGTAAATTTAATTTTAATTTTTAATTTTGTGCTAGGAAACTGACGGTTTGGAACAAAAGAAACAAAGTTTACAAAATGAAATTCAATCACTTCAAAGCGAAAAAGAACATTTAGAATTTTTGTTAGAGGCTCACAAAGCATGTTGTAGACTCGCTGGAACGGACAATCCGCCATCTCCTCCAGACATAAAACCGGTTATATTTATGGACGATGAAAACAAAGTGATAATCGAGCATGAAAATTCCGTCATAGCACCATCATCTCAACCCAGTCCGCCGAAGAAGCCAATGATAGCGGACGCGGCAACTTCTGGTGGAAACAAACCGTCCAGACCCAGTTCGCTTCCTTTTACCTCTTATCCTTCGAAACCTGGACCCACGACCGTTCTAGAAGTTGCCGGCGTGCCTATCACGACTCCGTCCGCCGGAATTCCATTTAATTTCGATTCCCTCATGGACGGCGGTACTGGTCTGACTCCCGTTAGCGGCACCGGATTGACGCCCATTGTGCCATCTTGCTCCAGCCAACAGAGAAATTCTTCTAGTATGGATTTGGCGAGTCCGGAGAGCTCATATCCTCCAAAGCTGGTGTCTTTGTGATGGACATTCGAAAAAGTGAACGTAATAATGCAATAGCAGAATGAAATTTTTTGTTGCTGAAGTCTGCCTTGATTTTAGAATAAGAAAAAATTTGTATTTTTTATATTTTATTATTATTATTATTATTATTATTATTATTATTATTATTATTATTATTATATATTTAAAAATCACTTTATTAGAAAAGATTAGATAGTTCTTTTTTTTTAGCAGCCGAAGCAGGGCTTTGACTTATTGCAAATGGAAGAAGCTTCTTCACTCGTGTTACCATTAGAATCTATAAAAACTGATTTGGCGCCAAAATACATTTATTTTAAAACGTAAAACTGTGCAAAATTATTATTATTATTATTATCGATTAAACCTCTTTGGCGGCTTATTTTCATTTTTATAATTTTAATGTTAAATCAAAAATTTGTAATATAAAAATAATAATTATTTTGTTTTTATTATTATTTATTATTATTATTATTTTATTCCTGGTTTTAACAAAAGGTGGTGCAAACGTTCCGTGAAGGAAATAAATTATAAAAGCGATCAAAATTTAGTTACAAAATTGCACGTGTGACGTGTGTGTGTGTGTGTATTTTATTTTTTAAATACTTTTTTTTTTTTTTTTTATTGTGTTTGTTTGGTTTCAAAAGGTTTTTTTTTTTTTTTTAATTAACAGTTATGATTGAATCTTTATAAAATCGAAAAATGTTTTTTTATTGTCTTAATCAAAATAAGATTTTATTAATGACAGGTACATAATTAAATAATTTTATCAAATTGAATACGTTGACTTTAAATTGACTGCACAAATTTTTATCTTAAATATACAAAATATTGGACAATTGAAAAAAATAAATTAAGAGAATAGAAAAAAAAAGGTTTTTATTAAGCAATATATAAGATTTTTTCATTATTAGAGCTTTTTTTTTTTGTTAAATAATGTAAATGAATTTATCAAAATTTTTTTTTTTATTTACTTGTTTTTATTGGGTCAACCAAAAATATACTTTTTATAATTACTGTATTAAATATTATAATTAAATTAGGATAAAGATTTTACACACACATATATATTTTGTTTTTGTATAATTACTTTTTAAATTACATTAGATAAAATTAATTTGATTGAAGAATCATCATCATCATCATCATTATTTTGACAAGTAAATAAAATTAAGAAAAAATAATTTTTTTTTTTTTTTTTTTAAATTAGATAAATTTTCAATTTACATTCAATCAATCACTCAATCAGGCACAAAAAGATTACAAATATAAAATTACAGAAAACAAAATATTTAAAGTAATATATGGAGCAAAAAAAAAAAAAAGTAAACAAATTTTTTCTCTCTGATGTTACTCGATAAGTTTTTTCGCCTTAAAATAATTTCTCAGGTAGAAAACTTGCCATGTTGCCAATCCTAAAAGGCAGCACATACTAAATACGGTGAAATATAATACCCTACGATTGGTCGATTCTGAAATAAAAAAATAAATTTTTATCAACAATTAAGTGTAATAATAATATTTGTTTTATTTAAAAATTTTCTATTGAATAGTTTAGTTTAAAAAAAATTTAAATGCTTACCATTTGTACTTCTCATCTCTTCTTCATTTTTTCTCATCAAAGAAAAATCTTTAACAATATCTTCCGACAAATCTTCCAATCTTTTGAGTTCAACTTCCATAGGTTTTAGTTTAACTGCTTCAGCAATCTAAAAAATATAAATAAAAATTGTTGTTTGTTGTTGTAAATACCTATTATTATTATTATTATTGTATAAACTAACAAAATGGGTTCATTTAATTATTTAAAATTAAATGAACCAATTAAACCTAACAAGTTCTTTTTAAGAATTTATATTTAAGTTTTATAATGAAGTATTAAAACCTTATAAGTGTAATAATTGTTTAAATCATAAAAAAAAACTTACTCCTTCATAGTTTTTAGCTTCAACACCTCTCTTGATAATCAATGAAACTTCTTGTCTAGAGGCATGTTGTTGTGGAGGAACTCGAGATGTGAAACATACTTCAAAAGTATCAAAATTTTCAGTTACAAAAGAAAACTTTCCCTTGGAAATATCACTTTTTTGAGATAGTATGTGACCTTTTGAATCTTTAACCTAAAGTATTTTAATTTATGGGAAAAAAAAAAAACGAAAAATTAACAACCATTAATTTAATTTTTTAAAAATCATGTTATATGAACTAGTTTATTGATGTGATGCTATTGTATTTTATAAATTATATATTTACTATCATATAATATATATTAAATATTTTGAGATGGCCCCAATTACACTTACTGTATAGTCTACTTTTTGCCCGAAAACGTCAGAAACTTCATATTCACCGGTGACTAAAACATCAGACTGAAGTTCCTCTCGAAGACATTTACGAGTGTTTGGTTCCAAGTTCCACATAATTCCATCTACCGCAATCAGCCCAGATAAAAATACGAGCCATAAATAATATAAATTCATTATGAATGGCGTTTTGACGATCCAATGCGGCATCCTAATAATTAAATTACCATTTAAAGAAATACAGACTGTCACATACAGAAATACGGAGTACACATTTTTCAAGTACGTGTTAACGTGGCATTAGAAACCATTAATATTAATTACTCGATGTTCATTTACAAGGCAGTGAGTTTTTAAAAACACGGCTGCTATGATTTTTAAACATTAACATCTTTCCACAGTGAGTTATAAAATGTCAGAGGACCCTAAATATTGTTGGCAATGTAGATTAATTAGTGGGGGAGGTTTGATTGGGGCTTCTGCTTATGTGGTCAACTGTGGTAAAAAATTACATCGATTTTCAAAGCATGGAGTAACCACAATTGGATACGGTAACGATTTAAATTTTTGTAGTTAAAAATGGAGGGAAATTTGAATTCGGTTATAAATAATTTACTAATTATTAATAATTATATATTAATATATATTATTTATATTATATATAATATATTAATATTATAATAAATTACTAATTACTTAATTTTTTTTTTTGAATTTAAATTTTAGGTATTGGACTTATAGGCCTTTTAAGACTCTTTGGAATCCCTCCATTTAAAGGAGGAGGAGAAAATTTTATAGAAAATAAAAGTGAAAGTAAAGAAGAAGATGAATATATAATAGGGAAATTTTCATAAAAACTTCTATTCAAAAATTATATCTAAAATTGTTAAAAGTGTATATATTTCATAATTTTTTTCATTTACTTTTTTTTTAAATATAATTTTATATAATTCATAAAACTATAAAACTAATTAAATTATACTTAAAAAAAATTATTAAATTACCTCAATTAAAATTTTTGAGTGTGGATATTTATTAAAGGAAATGTTTTTAATAAAATAGTTTAAATAAATAAATGTAATTAATATTATATAACAAATAATGTACATTTATTAAAAAAAAAATGTAAATATAATGTGAAATTTAAAATTATTGTAAAAGTTATATTATATTACTTGAAAACTAAACAGCATGTACAAAAAAAAATCAAGTTGAATTCAGAGACAGTTTAAAAGAAAATTTAATTTTCTTAAATTTCAGGTTTAAAAAAAAAAATTTAAATAATAAATATTTTGAATATTTAATAAGTGAAGAATGTAAAAAGTTGGAATAAAAATAAAAGGTATAACATTTATGAAATAAATCATAAGGGGTTTCACGAAAATGTCGAAAAGAATGTTTTTTTATATTATATTTTTTTTTTTTTTTTTTTT